ATGTAGCTTGTACCACATAGCTTGCGCCACGTAGCTTGCGCCATATATCTTGCACAACACGGGTTGCACTGCAGAGCTCGCACCAAATATTCTTCTGCAGACTAAATGGCCAAGACCGCACAGCTTGTACCACTTAGCTTGCACTAGATGACTTGCACATCAATGCAACAACTCACTGTTCGGAATCCGCGCCGGGGAACATTCGTCCCCAATCTTATTTGACGGTCCTGGGGCCCAGCCATGGCCCCTGAACGCCGGAAATGGCGAAACTTCCCCAACGCGATTCTCTCGATTCGCCTGAGATCTGGACCTAACCCCCCTTTGGCGGCGCGCACGCGAGTGTGTCGGTTCTCTACAAAGGCAGGGAGCTTATTACAAGGCTCGGAGGATTTTGAAAAAAAACGACTTTGCGGGGGCTTCTAAGAAGACCCCTTGCTTTCTTATAAGCCACCCGCCCCCGCACTGCCCAAACAAAATCCGCCCCAAACTGGATCTGGAATCCTCCATCCTACCTTGTTTCTCGAGCTGCATCCAATCGACGGTAACACATCAGCGGTCAGGGTCGACGAAGGCCCCAAGCCGCTGCGCCCAGCCGTGGCCACGATGAGCCTCGAAAGGGTCAAAAATGTCAGGGCGTCGAACTCCCTCTTCTACCTTTTGTCGGATGCTCCGAAGAGGAGGCCAACTAGAGGAGGGTTGACGCATCATAGCCCGAGACATGCGCGCGGATGAGGCGGGGAGGGGTAAGCAGACTTGTTCAAAGAAGAAGAAGGGGCCATGATATTCCTCCATTACCCACCCCCCGTCTACCAAACATCCGATGTTTTGCATTCCAGAAAGTACGGGGTCCCCAGAAGTCCCGACTCTTTCCACAGGGCCGTTTTATCACCCCGAGTCGTTATTCGAAAATTCGGACGGCGCGAAGGCCCGCAAAGGTCGAAACCAGCCAAAAACCTCTCGTCGTGTTTCTTTCACGACGCGAGCATGTCTGGGCTTGGACTCCTCCGACTTGCGCGCGCCGCCAACCTCTCACACTGTCGAACAGGGGAAGAGATCAGACAACCGATCCCCTGGGACCCGTAGGGTACTGGTGATGAGGCGAAGCCTTCTACCCAAAGGGTCAGAATTCTCACTCTGCTCACTCAGGTGCATGAATATCTGAGGCAAGATGACGATGGGTGAGGGAAAGAAAAGGAGGAGGAGGAGGAGGAGGAGGAGGAGGAGGAGGAGGAGGAGGAGAGATTTGCAGACACACGCGCGCACTCCCTTCCCCCCTCGTTCGTCGGCCGCGAGCCGGCCCCGATCCCCGCCCTCGGCCTCCTCCGCCGTCGTCGTGGTCTCGTGCGCGGGCGCAGTGGACGCCTCCTCCTCCGGGGTCGTGGCCTCCGCCTTCCGGGGGCAGGCTCGAGCGCGCGAGGGGCCGGGACCGTCCCAGACATGCTCGCGTCGTGAGCAAGAACGCGACGGGACAAATCTTGGTCGACGCGACACTTTTGGTGACAAAGTCACGGCGAAGACGGGCAGAGAGCGCCAGACCCCGTCGAGTCCTGGGACAATCGCTACGGGAGGCTCTCCGTAGGTTCGGCCTCGGGGGGCCCCTCGCCGGGCTCCAGGACTGTCAACAAAACGGCTCGGGACGAAGAAGCGACCCCAAGGGAGGAGTCGGGACTTCCAGGGGCCCCGTATTGAGACATCAACACGCAGGGTGTCAGGGACCGCTCTCGACGAGGCCATGGAGCACGAGGCGCGCCTGGTTGCCTGCAGGCACGTGGCTGCCGGAGTGCGGGCCCAAGCTCTGGCGAGAGGCGGAAAGACAGGAGGCCAGACCGCTGGAATCGTGAACGTGTCCCTTGCATCGCGGAAGGATGGCGAAGGCATGCTCTTGTGAAGCATGGGCCGGCGGAGGCCGACCTCGGGCCTCCGGGGCCGTCATCGAGCGACCAATGATGGTGACAAGCCGGTGCCGTGGATGGTGTCGAGACCTCCAGGGACAATGCACGGGAGCAAATACGACGTCGGAGGTCGGGGGGACTGGAGCCCAACACAAAGCGAACAGTAACGGGCCGACGACGCCACGAGGGCGAGGAGGACGAGGACGACGTGTACACAGGCGAAGATGCTGCGGCCAAGCTTCCACTGCTTTCCGCGAGGTTGGAGGGAGGGGCCGAGGTCGGAAGGCCAGTCGTTCTCCTCCTCGGGAAGCCGAAAAATCTCGAGTCTCCCATCCTCCGGCGTCGCAATGCCTCCGTGACGTCGGCCCCTGCCTAGGGATCTCGACCTCTCCCCCGCGGCTGGGCTCTCATCCCGAGCCTGCCTAGTGACGATCCTGGGGGCTGCAGAGGCGGCCCCCCGAAGGTCGGAGGCGCAGAAACGCTGGCCGCCACGGGCTTCTGTTTGTTTCTTGTGGAGACATCCGCACCGAACTAAGGCGATGACATGGATACGGTTCGGAACTGCTGCTTAGCGTGTCGCAGCCATGCCTTGAAAACTGCCGGTAGCGTGTGGCTCCTCTTATTGGACCGGGAAGCCGGGATAATCTCGAAACGTTGATGCCTGGGGACTGGGAGATGCTCAACGTGTCGCGCCCAAGCGTGGTGGGCCAGAACCGGCGGCGCAACTAGAAAACACAATATCAAATACGTGAACTTTGGGTCATCCGCGCGAGTTGGTTGGATCTGCGCTGGTTCTTCCAAGACCAGCCTTTCATCCGGAATCGTTGTTTGACCCCCAGGGCGGGCCCCGGGAACCCCAAAACGAGGACATGCCTGCTTCCCTCAGGGGCCCGTTTTCCTCAAGATCCCTTCCTTGACCGTATGTTTCAGGCTTGCAGTCACACCCGTGGGAGGCGCGTGGGCGCGGGGTTGGAATACCATGTGGGGCCTGCTCTAGAACAGGAACATACCGTAGACGACACTACCCTTTCTCCGACCCTGTACTCCGTCGAACGCCGCGGCTGCGTTTTCTGTAGACTCGTCAATAGACGCTTGTGGCTAGAAAATGAAAGCAGCATGTGGCACACAGCAGGAGCTCGACCACAAGAAACCTTCGCAAGAAACCCAGCCCTCAGACCCCAGGACGTTCATTGATTTCTGGTGTGGGAACGTCACGCTTTCCAGGGCACCTTGGAGGCAGGCAGGGTGTTTCTTGGCATGGGTTCCCACTGTAGGCCCCAGATTGGTGGTCTCGTAGAAGCAGGTCGACTTGGCCCTCCGAGCGCGGGGAGGGGGGGAGAAAAAGCGCAGCGCCTCCCGCGCGGACGTCGTGGTGGGCGCGCCATTGGCCTCGCGGGGCGCCTGACGGGGGGAGAACGGCAAATGAGAATAGAGGGGAAGGGGAGACGGGGAGGAGGGACCGGGGAGACGAGGAGGAAGACGAGAGGAGAAACCAGAGGGACGAGGAGGAGGAGCCAGGAGAGGACGAGGAAGAAGAGCAAGAGGAGGATAATGAGGAGGACGAAATGGGAGGACGAGGAGCTGGAGCGTGGCAGAGAGGCGAATGCGACGACAAGCTGCCCCTTTTAGGGGGGGGGTGCGTCCCAACACTGGTTGGTCAACGGCGGAGGTGGGCGCCAACGCGTTTCCGGTCAGCCGGCGGGCCACGAAAGGCAGAGGCACACTTCGCAAGTGGACCAAAAGAGGGCGGCTGCGGAGGCGGGAACGCGGGGGGAGGCCTCAGGCGTCGAGATATCTTCGCCACGAGGGGTGCGCCTCAGACACCGAAAAAGCCAGTGTGCGCTGGACGGTGAGCGGTCAATGCGAGCTGCCGAATAGGAGAAGGCAGCGCACGTCCCACTGGAGCCGCGCCGAAAGCCTCCCATCGACATGAAAACTTGAACCAGAAAACGGCAGGCCAACCGTTTTCGGCTTCCACGTTCAGATTTTTCTGGCCTGAATTGCCACTGCCTCGCCGAGGCGCGCGGTCCACCTTGCGAGGACATCGGCGTCGACACGGTGACCCCTCGCGCAGTCCTCGACGACCTCGCGGCCCTGTGGAAGCCACGCCTCTAGACTGACAGTCTGAACATGATTGACGCATGGCCGTCGAAGCTTTCGAGTCCATGTTGGGACCACGTCGAAATCTTCCGAATTCTACCGCGTAGTCATCGAAGATTCCGTGCCAATGCTGGGACCACCTCGAGATCTTCATGCCAAGGCGTAACACCGTCCAAGCGTGACTTCCGCAGCCCTCGAAGATTCCATGCCCATGTTGAGACCGCGTTGAGGCCATCATGCCAGGGGCTCAACGTTGCCCAGGCGTGACTTCTGCGCAGTCCTCGAGGACGCCATGCCCACGATGAGGCCAGGTTGAAAATCTTAGTTCAGGAGCTCCACATCGCCCAAGCGTCTTCATGCACACAGGCATCAAGCTCAGCCCAACCAGACCGAGGAAGGCATCTCAGCCAGCCAGAAAGACGACGCCATGAACGTTCGGAAGATCTTTTTGAGCAAGGAACGAAAGAAAGACAAATATTACCTCGTTGCCGAGACGGAGAGAGGAGCTCTTCGCGCCGGAAGCGGTCGTCTAGGGTGACTGAAGAAGACGAGGCCCCCCGACTTATGTTCTGGCACTCAGCAGTCACAATCGCGAGTTACTCATGCCACCGTGGAGGACACAATGTTCCTACAACAGTATGGCCAACAAAGCACAGCGCGACTCCGACATCCAGCTGAGCTTCCGAGGCATCGGAGCCAAGTCTGCGAAGGATTTAATGGTTTTGGCATGGGGCGACAGCAGCCTCATGAACGTCAAGGCGGACGACATCCCAGAACTAATCGGCACTCAAGCAGGGTTGGTCGTCGGAGTTGCAGAGTTGCACACATAAATATCCTGAAAGACGGGCGCGGGAAGGTGAATCTCATCTCATTCCGATCGCACAGGCTGACGCGGAAGGTGAGACCCACGCTGGCAGCGGAGACGCTGGCAGTGACGGAGGCGATCGAGCAGGCAGAGCCAATTCGAACACACCTCCTGGAGATCTTCGGAACCGATGTGCTGAGCAAGAAAAGGATCCGCGAGCAGGCGAAGCAGATCCCCATCGTGGCAACGATAGACTGCAAGAGCATGTATGATTACGTGCATTGTCGAGGCCTTATTCCAGACAACAAGAGGTTGCTGCTCGACCTGAAGATCATCAGGGACCAAGTGCGCGACGATGACGTACAGGTGTGCTGGGTCAACACCAGGCAGCAGCTCGCCGACGCGCTCACTAAGGACGGCACCGAAACATCGCTGTATATACGACAAACACTACGCACCGGAGATGTACAACTTCCACAGCACCCGGAGCTCGACAACATCCTGAAGAGCCTGAGGCAGGAGGTGAAGACCGAGAGGTGCGAGGCGTGGGGTGCGAGACGGAGGTTGCCTACCGTTCGAGCTGACGAGCGTGAACATCCAGAGCCACGACCGAAGATCACGAAGAAGAAACCCGAAGTGGATCGCTGGGAAGTTGCTCACGAAGGTGTTCGACGAGTTCACGTGGTTCCTCGTAGAAAACAATTTGTCCCAACTGGGGGAGTATCGGGGCTGCTAGCAGATCTGAACGGTCTCACCCTCGCGAGACGTACTGAAGTGCAGCACGAGGGAGGCGAGACACATATCATCAACGACCAGTGGTTCGACGAGGACCAGGTGAGGCACCTGGATCATGACCTGAAGGAACGCTGGATCGGCCGTACGGACTTCGACCTGAAGGACAGCAATATCGTCGGGACAAGCGAGCGCGGACAGATGGGTCCTGGAGCATCCAGGCCGAACGAGTCGAACGAGAAAAAGACAATGTCGTGGGAATAGATGGCAATGAAGAAAAGGCAAGGAAAAGGTAACCGGAAATTCGAGAGCAGCGGGAATCCATGACTTCATGCATTTCATGCAGGAAGAGGTTCAGCATCATCAGACCACCGACAACGAGAACGACAGCTTCAAACCTGACTCCGGGAGCGAGCATGGACCATCCAGATCGAAGAGGCGCACTACAGGCCGAGCCAAAGAAGAGATCAGTGAGTGGCTCACTGGCGACGAGATCAGTACGGCGACGGCGCTGATCGCGTTCGGAACTACGCTGGGCTGGCGCTGCAAGCCAAGCGCAGCGAGCATATGGAGAAGGGACCGCACCAAAAAAACAAAACGAAAGGCGATTACACCACCGAATCCGAGAATCCCCCAGATGCACCGACTAAGAAGAGTTCGTCAACCAACAAGCTTAACGACAACGACAATGACGAAGAACAGGACGAAGACGCCCAGAAACCGATCAAAGGAGACGAGTACTACGATCCGTGGATTTCGAGGAGGTGCGACTCGTGCCGCAGGGTGTTCGTTGGCCAATGTTTCGTGTAAGAGGTACGCGTGCAAGTGTAATCTCGGAGAGTCGGACGACATCCAGAGAGCCAACTCGAAAACTCAACAAACATTGAACGACACCAAACAATGTTTGGCTTGCAATCGTGACAATATGTCACCATGCGAATGCCCACCGAAAACGCCGGTAACATGAAGGATCCAACGACACATTACAGCGTACGAGGTGCGTGGTGTGCAATCAGGTATGGAGAGACAGCTTTCTGTTTCCGAATTATGAAAAGCTTCGAGACAGAAGGTGATGTGCAGACGTGACATATTATCGAAGTGAATGACAGCCAGATGGCGTGCAGTGCATTCTTGAGGTTTTTTTGAAGAGTGGCTCTCAATGAACCCATCGCCGATGCTTGTATTCTTTTCTCGGTAACTGTTTGTTCCAGTGCGTGTACAGTTTCGTTGTGTCTTAACATGTTACTGATTACTATTAAAACGCTATGCCCTCATATTCAAGGAAAATAATAGAGACATATCTGACGGTCTTTCTCCGTATTCAATGCAGTCGAGTTGTTGTGAATCTGAAGCCATATGCGGTCCTCATGCAAGCATGCTGTCTGTAACTGTTTTGGGCTCAGACAAGGGCCCTTGTGTTGAGCTGTGCGAGAGAAACATCTTTTCACTATCGCATGCTGTTCGGTACGCGTTGCTACCGATCGCCAAGACGGCCCAAGAAGGCCCCAAGATGGGCTAAGAGGCGGCCAGGACGGCCCAAGAGAGCCCCAAGATGGCCCCAAGAGGGGGAGCACGGACTGAAACTCTGAGCCTTCCACCCCAAGGGGCGCCCAGGAGGCCCGAAGAGGCCCTCAAGAGGCCCCAAGAGGCCCCCCAAGAGGTCCCCACAAGGCCCCAAGGGGCCCCCAAAAGCCTCAAGAGAGGCCCCAAGAGGCCCCAAAACAGCCACCTGAGAACCCTCGACGAGATCCTAACGACCATCCAATAGGCCTCATACCCACAACCTGAACACGGCTGCGGAACGGGCCCGAAGACGTTCGATATCCTGCGCTTGCTCTGGTGGCGAAGTGGGGGCGCCACAGATTCCGTCGAGCCGCGCGTGGACCTACCTCACATTGTCGAACTGCTGCGCTCGAGCGTATTCCCGATTCAGCAACTACTCCAAGCCTTGCTGCGTATTGTGCTTCTCGCCAATGCTCGATCTCCGACTACGTCATCATGAATGGAACAATGCTGGTTTGACCACGGTCGCGCTCCGACGCAGCGCAGCGCACATATTCGCGTGTCAGATACGCCAAGGTCATGGGAACAATTCGCACCGCCCTGACCAAAACGTGTCCGCTCTGCGATTGGAGCCCCGAACGTAAGTGGAATGTGGTTGTTGAGATGTCCAATCACGCCCCCCCACACATCGCCATATGGGTAGAAGGAACGTCTGTACGTGAATGTTGTAATCGGCTCGCTTCCCGTTCGTGTTCGTAGTTTTTGTATATGTTGCCTCAAATTGTAATGTGCCCAATTGCGCAAACCATTTGTGAATCGATTTACCATCCACCGTATTTGTCAAACCCACCAGCCCCTTTGGCGTAGGTGGTTTAGGCAGTTAGTTCTTTCAACCTCCTCTGTCCCTTCGGGGAGAAGGTTAGTTTCCCCGAACAGCCCCCCGCGGGATGCGGGCAGGCGAAGTCTGCGGTCGTGTCGGGCGCGCCGCCGCACACCGGCCAAAATGGGCATCGCAACCGGGGAGCTTCAGGCGACCGGCCAACGGTGGGCCCCAGTTTCGCACGGCGTTCCGAGCCGAACCCGGCAACAATGGCGACGACAGGGCGGACGCCGAGGGCAGAGGCGGCGGACCACGCGAAGCGTCGACGGGGGGTCCCCGTCCAGCCACCCGTCCAGGCCAGCGGCGGGCGTGCTGCCAGGAGGGGAGAGACGCCTTTTTACCTAACAGCGAAGACTGATAGGTTCTACTAGGGTCAAAAGAGAGCATCATGACTCCCCAAAGGGGGTCCGGGCAGGATCTGGGGGGATGCCGGGGAACTCGTATTAAGCAAACAGTGACGCACTTCGTGGTCTTCGAGTTCCCAGAACTCCATTCCTGGGCATGATTTTGAATGCCCGGAGCCAACTGTAGGCCACTTAAGGTTCTTCGTGTTCCCAGAACACCATTCCCGGGTCACATTTTGAATGCCCGGAGCCAACTGTAGGCCACTTCGTGTTCTTCGTGTTCCCAGAACACCATTCCCGGGCCACATATTCAATGCCCGGAGCCAACTGTAGGCCACTTCGTGTTCTTCGTGTTCCCAAAACACAATTCCTGGGCATGATTTTGACTGCCCGGAGCCAACTGTAGGCCACTTCGTGCTCTTCGAGTTGCCAGAATTTCATTCCCGGGCCACATTTTGAATACTGAGGCAGGCTGATGCTGAGGCTGGGGCAGGCTGAGGCTGAGGCCGAGGCTGAAGGCAGACTGAAACTGAGGCTGAGGCTGAGGCAGGCTGAGGCTGAGGCTGAGGCAGGCTGATGCTGAGGCAGGCTGAGGCTGAGGCTGAGGCTGATGCAGGCTGAGGCTGAGGCAGGCTGAGGCTGAGGCCGAGGCTGAAGGCAGACTGAGGCTGAGGCTGAAGCAGGCTGAGGCTGAGGCTGAGGCAGGCTGAGGCAGGCTGAGGCAGGCTGATGCTGAGGCAGGCTGAGGCTGAGGCTGGCTGATGCAGGCTGAGGCTGAGGCTGAGGCTGAGGCCGAGGCTGAAGGCAGACTGAGGCTGAGGCTGAAGCTGAGGCTGAGGCTGAGGCTGAGGCTGAGGCTGGCTGAGGCTGAGGCTGAGGCTGAGGCTGAGGCTGAGGCTGAGGCTGCAGGCTGAGGCTGAGGCAGCTGAGGCTGAGGCTGAGGCAGGCTGAGGCTGAGGCTGATGCAGGCTGAGGCTGAGGCTGAGGCCGAGGCCGACGGCAGACTGAGGCTGAGGCTGATGCAGGCTGAGGCTGAGGCTGAGGCTGATGCAGGCTGAGGCTGAGGCAGGCTGAGGCTGAGGCAGCCTGGGGCTGAGGCCGAGGCCGGCGGCAGACTGAGGCTGAGGCTGAAGCAGGCTGAGGCTGAGGCTGAGGCAGGCTGAGGCTGAGGCTGAGGCAGCCTGAGGCTGAGGCAGGCTGAGGCTGAGGCTGAGGCTGAGGCAGGCTGCGGCTGAGGCAGGCGGAGGCTGAGGCCGAGGCCGACGGCAGACTGAGGCTGAGGCTGGAGCAGGCTGAGGCTGAGGCTGAGGCAGACTGAGGCTGAGAGGCAGGCTGAGGCTGAGGCTGTGACTGCGACTGCCGTTGCCGCTGCGACTGTCATCGCGAATGCGACTACGACTGCGAGAACAACAGAATTCTACGACTGGCTTTTCATCTGAATCTTAAGGGGAATGCTTCCAGATATGCTCCTACACATCGCTGTTCGGTTGCTTTGCCGGGATAATTCCTCGGACTCAGTGGCGCTGCAGTGCCTCTAAGGGAGCGCGTTTGCGCCGCAGGCCAGTGCCGAATGCAGCCTGTGGGCTGCAATTCGCTGCCAGTGGGCAGCGATGCTGCCAGTGGGCAGCGCGGCCCCCCCTCCCCGAAGGAGGGTGGATTGCGACAGCGCAAAAAAGGGTCAGGGAGGGCAGCCCCACGCGGCGCCACGCCACGCCTGCACCAGGACGCGTGGGAGGAATCCAGGGAGTCCGTGGCCGGGATGATGGCTGCCAGGAAAAGCGCCCTTTACGAATGCACAGCCCCTCCAAAGGGCCCCTTTCCCCGAACAGCCCCCCGGGATGCGGGCAGGCGAAGTCTGCGGTCGTATCGGGCGCGCCGCCGCACACCGGCCAGAATGGGCATCGCAACCGGGAAGCTTCAGGCGACCGGCCAACGGTGGGCCCCAGTTTCGCACGGCGTTCCGAGCCGAACCCGGCAACAATGGCGACGACAGGGCGGACGCCGAGGGCAGAGGCGGCGGACCACGCGAATCGTCGACGGGGGGTCCCCGTCCAGCCACCCGTCCGGGCCAGCGGCGGGCGTGCTGCCAGGAGGGGGGAGACGGCTTTTTCCTCGGACTCAGTGGCGCTGCAGTGCCTCTAAGGGAGCGCGTTTGCGCCGCAGGCCAGTGCCGAATGCAGCCTGTGGGCTGCAATGCGCTGCCAGTGGGCAGCGGTGCTGCCAGTGGGCAGCGCGGCGCCCCCATCGAGGCCCTGCGTCTCTCACATCCGCCGCTGCCGGGCGCGACGCGCCGTGGGCGAGCCTGACCGGGCCCCCTCGGGGGGCGGGTCGGCTGCCAGTGGCCCCCGCGCGGCTGCGGCCGCTGGGGCCTCCAGGTCGCCAGATGCCGCTGCTTCGAGCAAAATCCCCTTCCGTTCTCCATCCGTGAAGCGGGAGTAAAACGAGCGCATGACTTCCGCTGAAGCCCACCCGCCTTGGGCCTGGATGACCTCGTCGGTAAAGCCTTTTGGCACCCGCCACCAGTGCGCGCCTCCCTTCCGAAAGGGATGGGTGCCCACGTCGCGATCTCTCATAACCCGAGCAAGGCTTTGCCGGACCGTCTCGCATGACACCGGGCGAAGGTCCCCGCCGCCGGTAACGCAGAACAGTGGACCTTCGGGCGCCATGCCGTAGGTAGCGTTGCGCTGCGTGAGCCACCGCCGCGCAAGTAAGAGCGGACACAAAACTCCCATCGACGGAAGCGCTGGCAACCAGCACAACATCCCTTGGCCGAGCGGGTCCTTCTTCTGCCTGCGGACGCGCAGCTGCATGCGACCATCCGCGTCGACCAGGTCACGGAGCTCGAACGCCAACACCTCTGCCGAACGACGGATGCAGAAAACGGCCACGCCAGCTAGGGCGGCATCCCGCAGGCCCGCGGGGGTTCCAGTGGCCAGCCGGGTCCGCTAGTAGAACGTCAGCTCCTGCACGCTCAGGGGGCGTTTGGCCCCGCTGCCCGTATGATCGGCCAACTTCTTTAAGCCGAGCCAAAAGTGCATGACCCGCGGCGTCCACGAGGCCTCGGACAAGTGCACGCAGTCGCGTTCGACATGCCATGCGCGCACCGCCGCCTTCGCGGTATAAGTGATTGTCGTCCATGGGCGCCCCGCCAGGCCCGTGAAGAGTGTCATGACCTTCGCGTCCGTGTCTGCAGGGAGAAGCTGCAACGCCGTGTCCGCCTCCACGGCGCTCGCAACGCCTCGCAGGATCGCTTCGTAGCGGTCGCGAGTCGACTGTTCCCAGGCTGCGGCAAAACGCTGTCGGATAGCCGCGGCAGCTTTCGCCCTGGCGTCGAGCTCTAGCGGCCGGCCTGCAGCGGTGGTGAGCAGAGCCGACGAGGCGGCCGGCCCCTTGAGCCTCCTGCCCCCAGGCGCGTCCTGCGACGCCACCGCGCCCGACGCTGCTGGCCGAGGCTCAGGAGCTGGGCCGGAATCGCCGCGCAGCAGCGGCGGCTGCCCTCCGTGTGCGAGCGCCGGGGCGCGAACGCCGCTGTGTGCCGGCAGAGCGTGGCCTTCGGGGTCCTGCGCCTTGGCCTGGGTCTCTGGCGGCGTCAGCAAGCCGCCATTGCCCGCCGCCCTGCGCCGGTCCTGCGGCCTGGAAGAAAAATCATTTTTCCGGATCCAATGCATGGGGCCGAAAAATCTACGGAGAGGAGGAGGGGGGGGAAGGGGGGGGGGCGGCGGCGGCGCCGGGGGCAGGAAGCGGCGGCAGCAGGCCAGGCCGTTCGCTCGCCCCTGCTGCTACTCCCTCTCCGCCAGAGATCCAGCATGATCCCAGACATTGCTCGCATGTGCCGTTCGCTTGCCCCTGCTGCAACCCATCTCCGCCAGGGGACCAGCGCGATCCCAAACAATGCTCGTGCCGTGGGAGATTTTCCAGAGACTCTGAGCGATTGCTGGGCGCGTTGAGAATGCGCGACCCCGCTGTTGGGGGGCCACGGAAGCACGCGCATGAACATCCGACCGCGCGCCCTCGGCGCGCAAGCCGTTCCCTCCCCGGGCCCCGGGCAGAATCCCGGCCCACAGAGGCAGATGAAAGAGTGATTGTTTTGGGCGTGGCGCTCGCGTGCGCTGCGCGTGATATGGATGGGGGTTCGGTTAGCAGAAACATGTATTTAACATATGGATGGCGCAGGCTGTGCTGCGATCCCGAAGCACACGTGCACAGATTACATGTATCTCGGCGGAAGGCCGGCCGGGCTGCTGAGCTGGCGGCCTAGTGCGGGCAGTCAGATACCCATTGGAGGATGCGATCCTTGCGCCCGGCCTTCGTGCACTTCGCGCGTGGGATGAAGCACGGATTGCTGGCGTCGCAGCACTCCTTCAGCGAGTGCCTCACTGCTCCCTTTTTGCTCGGGAGGCAATTCCGGCAGATCACGCGCGTGACCTCCATCATCGCCTGCCGGTGCACGTCGTCGAGCTTGAACTTCTCGTCCATCCAGGCCTGAATGCGCGCCGGGGAAGCGTGCGAGGCCAGCTTCTCCAGCTCCTCGGTGAGTTTGCTGACCAGCTGCTTCTTGGTGGTCCGGGTGGAGCCCCCTCCGCCCAGAGAGGCCTGCGCCGGCTGGCCGGTCTGGGGCGGCTGCTGCCCTGGCTCGACCGCCCGGGCGGTTTTGGGCGAAGGGCCGCCCGACCCCGAGTCCCTGTCAGCGTCCGCGGGGCGCTTCTGCGGGGCGCCGCGCGCCGCGAGAGCTGCCTCGCCCAGCGGGGCGTCGACCCCGAAGTCTTGGCCAGGATCTCCGTGTCCAGCGGCGAGTTGGCGGACGCCTTGGTGGTCCTCGTCTTGTGCGACTTGATGACGAAGTAGACAAGGTCCATCAACTCCGCCCGCTGCTCAGCGGCTTTCGCTGGCCCGTCCTTCTTTGCAGCCTGTGCGACCGCGTGCCGCTTTTCCAAAAGTGAAATGGAGAAGGGGACGGGCCAACGCTTTGACAGCGCTGTCCGGCGAGTCAGCCCTCTCCCGTAGACACGCCTGTAGGCGGTCGGATCCCCCCCCGAAGCTGGGCAAGCAGATGGGCTTCCACTTCAATCTGGCTGCGTACTTCAACGCGGCCGCGTTCTTCAAAGCGAGAAGCTCTGGGTTCTGCGGGTGGGCCGCCTGCGAGGCAAGGACGCGTGCCATGGCCGGGTCTTTTGCGACCGCGTCCGCCGCCTGGGTTGCCGCGCCCGCCTCCGCGACGAGCTTCCTCCAGGCCGCCGACCGCTGAGCCGTCGTGAGGGGGCGGAGCCTGGCGCTGTGCGGGTACTCCGCGTCCGCCCTCTGGTCGAACTCCTTCGAGAAGGCGGCCGTGATCTCTCCTGCGGGCAAGAGGGCCTGCGAGACCGCCCGGGTGGAAGCGCTCGCGGCAGACGCGTCGACGGCCTGGGCCCCCGCCTGCCCCGCGGCGAAAGAGTCGACGATCGCCTGGTAGACTTTGCCTCCTGGCTTGTTGGCCTCCTCGATTGCAGTGGCAATCAAGTTCTTGACGGCCTCCTCGTCCATGGCCGTGGACTGTGGAAGTAGACGGCGAAACAATCGGAAAGCTTTTCGCGCCGAACAGAAAAGGCACTCGAGCCGCTGGCTACGGGGAGGCACGCTGCGCAGGCGGGGGTGGCGGCGCCACCGATCCGGGTTGGACTGCGATGATGTGCTTTATCGCTTGCGCTTCCGCCTGTTCGGCTGCCGGGACTGCGGCGGCAAGTGTGGCAAGTCAGTGCGCGGCCCTCGGCGCCGCGAGTCTCCGTGGAGCCACCGAAACAAGTCAGACCCGGCTGGCCAAGACCTGACCCGGAACCACCGCCGCAGCAGCGCGGGGCGGAACCAGGGCGCCCGGCTGTCTTCCGGGCAAAGTAGCGCGATGCGCGTACCAGGGTTTTGCACGAGGTTGGCATTCAAGAACTCCAAGACGGATCGAATCAAAGCTCGCGGCGGATGCGCCCAAACCGTGTGGCCGGTCTGCCTCAAATGCTGTCCTTTCGGGTGAGCGCCACGAAGGTGCGACGGCATTCCGGCCGCCCCGGTCTGCGAACAGGTCCAATGTGAACGAGCAGGCGCGCCGTGCAACGACGTCTGCCAGAATTGGCGTGCGAATCGATGCCTCAAGAAAGGCATCAGAATTCCAGCGCGAGACGAACAGAGGATCCATGGGGCCGAGGTCTGCTGTCCGATTGGCCGCGCGGCTCAAGTGGGGCGCCGGGGCCCAGCAGGAAGCTGCCCGCTCTGCCCGTTCAAGTCGTTCTGCGAGCCGTTCGAGCCGTGGGATGGCGCCGTAGCGGACATTGATGTAATGTTCAGCCGCCTTGTTGTCCACCCTGAACAGGATGCGCCAGCCGCGGAATTCGTCAAGGTTGTCCTCCAGACACTGGCGCGCGACCCGCAGCTCCCTGTCATTGATGTCGGCGGGTTCCGATCAAACTTCCAAATCAGAGAAATTGTCAGGCCATGTGCCTGAGACGCCCCGCGTGGAGTGGCAGAGGTGGTAGGACTAACCTTCGGACGTGGCGGCGTCTGTCTCCACGACGCGGATCTGACCCGCTCTGGCGAGTGACTCCCATTGTTCGTGCTCTGGCGACTTGTGGCCCCAAGTCGACAGCGAGCCCCCTTGGTCATGCAACGCCCGAGTTGGTGGCGATCTGAACGCTTCTACCGCCTACTCGATGCTTTTCCGGCTCAATTCAGAGAGGCGGACGACTGGATTAGCCTGAGGTGACCGGCTCCATAGAGCGTGCGCGCCCGCCGAGTTTAGATCCGTCCAGATGGGATGAAGCCGGCGGCGCGCCTGCGGATAGAGCTCTGCAATATGAGATGCCAGGCCCACAGTGGAAGCCAATTCTCTGGCGAGGAGAACTCTGTGGGAGTCCGCCTCCAGAACAGCGATGAGTTGCTGTCTGCAACGATCGCACTTCTCTTGGGCCACTGTGACAACCCCGAGAACGGTATCGAATATCCACGCTATCCAGCTTTGCCGGGTGTCTGGGGGCCTGACGCCAGTGGGCTTCGCGCTCGCAGGGACGCCCGCTGTGAGGAAAAAGTCCACCGGTCGATCAAGCGCTGTCCAGGCCGAAGCGCAACGCCGCTCCACCCCGAGTAGATCGTCCACAAAGTCGAGCAACTGCACGCCGCTCCTCTGTACCAAGACGCGCAATAATTCTCTGATGGATCGGTCATTGAGCCCCGGGGCCGGCGACAGGCCGAAAGGGAGAAACCGTTATCGTCCGAATTGCCGCCTCTCGTGTGAGTAAAACTCGAGGAGGTAAGAATCAGCGTCGCCCGCCCGCCACTTAAAGAAGCAGTCTTGGAAATCTACGACGTACAGGAAATCGCCTCGGTGCATGCGGCTGATAGCCGTGTCGATTGTTCCGTGCGAAACCCCGACATGCGGTGCACGTTCGTTGACCCGGCCCACTCGCAAATCCAATATCAGCCGAGCCTTCCATCGATCGTGTTCTGGAGCCTCTGGGGTTGAACCTGCGCGCTCTTTCAACAGCAACCCGCAGGGGTTAACGTTGAGGGACGGCGGCCGTGGCGCCCCTGGAAGGAAAAGATACACCTTGCCCAATTCCTCGAGCCTGCTCCACTCGCGTTCGGCCCACGAGCTGTGAGTTCGCACTGAAGGGTGGTTGGGCGTGTATCGCGCTTCTGCACGCGAAGCTCCCAAGGGCGCGCCTTGCTCCCAGAGCCGGATGAACTCGTCATGGGCCCCTGCGGCGGCCAGAAAATCCATATCCAGAGTGAGCCCAGTGACGCCGTTATACCACTGCATGCCGGCACTGCCCCTCTTTACGCTGTCCAGAAGGTCGCGAAGGCGGGTTTCCGTATCGGAGGGCGCCATGCTGGTCTCCAGAAGAGTTCGGGCCGAAACCGCAACGGACGGGGGGGGCAAACGGTGCGCGTCAATGAAAACATGTGGATGGATCTCTCGGCCCAGGATGGCCTGAAACACTCTGCACCTTCGGGCGGGCTCCTGGGCGACACGGGGTTGCCCGCGAAGCTACCGCAAGCGCGCGGCGACCCCACCGCAAGCATGTGGGTGAGCGGAATGCTGGGCTCAGCGGCCTCCTGAACATCCGAAGCTGCGGACGAGCTAGCGCAAACACGCGCCGAGCCCACCGCCCGCGTGATGGTGAGTGCACGGGCGGCTCTCAGCGCGAGCGCGCGCGTAAGAGGATGGGGGGCTCCCGCGAAAAGGGCCCCTGATCGTCACAGGGTTGATGGAAAACGAAAGGCTGCTGGAACGCGCCTGTATTCAGCACGCGCATGCAGGTGAACGCAACGATTGCTCCCGTGAGTGGGCTCTTGGGCGTCGCAGGGTTGCCAGTAAAGCCAACGCGGGCGCGCGCCGCCCCCCGCGAGTGCGCGAGTGAACGTCAACGGCGTCTCCCGTGAGTGGGCTCCTGGGCGCCGCAGGGTTGCCGGACAGGCTGGGGCAAGCACGCGCCGAACCCGCCGCAAGAATGCCGGGGAGTTGCCCGACAACTGGCGCAGGCACGCGTCTACTTCAGCGCGGGCACGCGCGTGGGGGGAATGACTGTTCCCAAGAAAGGGCTCCGGAGCGTCACAAGGTTGCTGGATAAAAAATGCAGGAACGCTGGCGCGCGCCCGAACACAGCGCACGCATGCGTGCGAGCGCAACGGTAGCTCCCATGAATTGGGCTCCTGGGCGTCACAGGGTTGCCGGAAACGCTAGCGCAAGCACGCGCCAAACCCACCGCAAGCGTGCTAGTGAGCGAAAACGATGGTTCCCCTGAAGGGGCTCCTGGGCGTCACAGGGTTGCCGGAAAGCTAGCGAAGGCAAGCGCCAACCTCAGCGCTAGCACGCGCTTGAGAAGAATGGCTGCGCCCATAAGAGGGGCACCTGGGCGTCACAGGGATGCTGTTAAAAACGAAAGCGCTGGAACTCGCCGAACAAGGCATGCGCATGTGTGTGAGCGCAATTACGGCTCCAACGAGAGGGCTCCTGGGCGTCGCAAGGTTGCCGCGCCGAACAGCGTGGAACGCGCTGCCGTCTGCTCCCACGAGAGGGCTCCTGGGCGTCACAGTGTTGCCACACCGAACAGCGCTGGAACGCGCTGCCGTCGGCTCCCATGACAGGGCTCCTGGGCGTCACGCGGGTGCCACACCGAACAGCGCTGGAACGCGCCGACGGCTCCCACGAGAGGGCTCCTGGGCGTCGCAGGGTTGCCACGCCGAACAGCGCTGGAACGCGCTGCCGTCGGCTCCTGCGACAGGGCTCCTGGGCGTCACAAGGTTGCCACATCGAACAGCGCTGGAACGCGTTGCCGTCTGCTCCCAGGCGAGGGCTGTTGGGCGTCACAGGGTTGCCAAAAAGAACAGCTCGAACGGGCTGCTACTGGCGTCAGGTAGCGCTTGAGCGAAAAGGCGAGAGGAAGGATTGTGGAGGGGATGGGGGGGGGGTTGGCGGGCTCCTCTGCTCCTGGAAGACGGGGTCGACAGCTCCTGGAAGACGGGGTCGGGAACCCAAAGTGCCACCGTTGTGTGGACGGCGACGTATTGTGAGAGAGCGCCCGCGTCAGTCCTATTCCCGCGAGGCTCTGCTACTCTTCCATGGCCACCGATGTCCCAGCTGCCTGAGCACAGCCGTGCGCCGAACGAGGCCGGACAGAAAGCTCTCGACGAGGCGGCGTGTGAGCATCCTCCTCCTTTCCTCCTCCTGCATGGGGGGGAGTGGGCGGCGAAGGAAAAGTGTTTTGGAGGGGGAAGGTCGGCGTCCGTTGTGCCGATCTGCCACCCGTGCGGGTTCCGGAAGAACAGGGGCGCAAGCACGCGCCACCGCTATACAGATGTTCCCGAAGGCGGGCTCCTGAGCGCCACAGGGTTGCCATGCGGGCAAGCACGTGCCTGCCGAATATGTACCCGATGTGCGGGCTCCTGGGCGTCACAGGGTTGCCGGCTGATCTCGGCGGTGTGGGTGCGATCATTTCCCATGTGGCGGGGCTGCAAAGCACGCGGCGCCACGCCGCGCCTGCACCTGGACGCGTGGAAGGAATCCAGGGGGTCCGTGGCCGGGATGATGGCTGCCAGGAAAAGCGCCCTTTACGAATGCACAGCCCCCTCCAAAGGGCCCCCTCTCCCCCTACCTTCTACCCCTGGGTACGAACGGGCCCAGTCTCGAGCAGTTCGAGCGTCCAAGATGGCCCAGTATGGCTCCAATCCAGCCCCAGATAACTTAATCTGGCCTCCAATATCGCACGACATCGACCAAGATGGTTCGAGATAGCTTCCAGCGTGCCTCCAAGAGGCCCCAAGACCCTTCCAAAATGGTTCCAAGTGGCCACGGAGCCTCCACAGGACATCTCCAACGGGCCCAGATCCTTCCAAAACCAAAAGGGAATCTCAGTTGTTCTGTCTTCTCGTCGTTTCGCTTCCGATCGGCTTATGGTGCCTCAAGGTGGCTACAAAATGGCCAAGGAGAGCCCCAACATGGGCCTAGGAGTGCCTCAACATGGCCCCGATATGCTATTTCCCCACTGCTT